TTTTGTTTTGCTGTGCTGTGCTCTTTCACCTACATCTGATGCTAAAATCCTCCTCAAACTGGACTATAGGAAGATTTAAATATTTGATATTTGGACAACTGGATATTTGAACTGCCTGGGACCCAAACTTTCTAGGTACCCCACTATACACACACAACAAACACACACTGTACCAGTTCACTAACCTCCTCATTTTCCCAGAGCTGTGCCTCTCTGCTCTGAACAGGAAAAACACTCAGGTTCAACCTATCTGTCCCAAAAGGGTCCCTAGATACCAGCTACTAGGTAGACCTAAGAGTGTCACATGACACACCCCCCAGGCAGACCAACTCTAGCCTCTTTCAGTACATGAAGCTTTGTTGGGACACACCCATGCCCTTTTGCTTACAAGTATCTAAGAGCTTTTTTACATGTCAGAATTGAGGGTTGTCCTAGATACTGTATTCCACAAAGCTAGAGTACTTACTTTCTGGTCCTTTTCAAGAAGCTTTCCAGCTCTGCCGTAGGATGCTGCCCTTTAGCGTAGGGGGCTCTCAAGATCAGGCTTTGAAGAAAGGCTCAAAGTGCTTGCAGGAACTGAAATATTTAGTGACAGATGCCTAGTCAGTGTGTGGTGTGCTTGCATGAAAACAGTGGATGGAAAAAGAAAAGAAAAGAAAAAACAGTGGATGGTTCCTGAGCACTGCCACTCAGTCTTCCTCTTTTCCTACCCCCTCCTCAGCCCGGCAGTTCTCTAGAGAACTAAGAGCCCTTGCATAGTCAAGGTCTTGCTGTAGGCAAACTTCTACGAAGACAGAGAGGACCTGGTATGTGAATACTTCCTGGCTTGAGGAAGCTAACTTAGGCATTTTCAGTCACAGAACATTAGAATCTCAGAATCACGAGGAGAGCCAAACTTTAAGAAAAGGCTCCAAAAACCAGCTCACATAAGTGTCTATGCATTTGGGAATCCCCATGATCGGGCTGGATGATAAGATGTCAACCTCTCTGTTTAACCCTGCTTCGATGTGGTGTCCAGTACCTCCATGGTTGCCATTATCAGTGTCTGCTGTTCACCAGAGAAGAAACCTACAAGGCGTGGGTCCTGTGCTCGAAAGGCAGCAGAGAACTCTCGGGGCTTTCCACAAAGTGTTGAGTAATTAAAGGCGCCCACTCTAACTGATGTGATTGTAATTTGTGTGATTTTAAATAACTACCACAAGGGACACCATCCGCAGCTCCCTATCCAAGGTTTTTGTTTTGTTTCGTTTTAAATCATGTTCTTCTATACAAAGGTTCCTGAGTCTGCGCAACAGGGTGGTGTAGCGTTAGTCAGAAAGTGGATGTTCAAGACACACTTTAATCTCTAAACTTGGTTAATACATGCTCCAGGACAGTCTCCCAACCATACATGTGTGGTTGTTCTGTCCTCCCCTCTGTGTCAGTTAGGGCTTTCTTTCATACAGGCATGCTTTGTAGCACATCTGCAGTTACCTTGGGCTTATCCCGTCCACGAAGAGATGTGTCTTCAGCAGGAAGGTTGAAATGTTTTTCCCTTTCAGGTGATGTTACTCTGGTTCCATTTTACCTGTTAGGGGGGTGAGAGGCGTATGCATGCCACAGCATATGTGTTGGAGTCAGAGTCAGTTCTGTCCTACATTTGTTCTGGGCGTTGAACTCCTGTGTGTCAGGTTTGGGGAAAGCCCCTTTACCTGCTCAGCCACCTCACTAGCCCCGGTGAGGTTTGCTCCTTTTCATCTGGCTAAGATAATGATTTCTGAAGCTGGGCATGGTGGCTCATGCCCATATTCTCAGCACTGAAAGGCTGAGGCAAGCAGGTTACAGTGAGTTCAAACCCAGTCTCTGTAGAGAGACTGTCCTAGTTAGGGTTTCTATTGCTGTGATGAAACATCACCACTAAGAGCAAGCTGGGGAGGAAAGGGTTTATTTGGCTTATACTTCACACACAGTAGTCTATCACTGAAGAAAGGCAGGAACTCAAAACAGGGTAGAAACCTGGAGGCAGGAGCTGATGAAGAGGCCATGAAGAGTGCTGCTTACTGGCTTGCTCAGCCCGCTTTCTTAAAGAACCCTGGACCACCAACCCAAGGGTGGCACCACCCACAATGAGCTGGGGCCTCCCACATCAATCACCAATTTTAAAATGCCCTGCAGGCTTGCCAATAGCCTGATCTTTTTTATTTTATTTTATTTCATTTTACTTTATGTCTACTGGATTTTTGCCTGCATGCATGTGTGTGTGTGAGGGTGTTGGGTTCCCTCCTAGAACTGGAGGTTACAGACATTTGAACTGCCATAAGAGTGCTGGAAATTGAACCATTCGTTCTCTGGAAGAGCAGTCAGTGCTCTTAACCTCTGAGCCATCTCTCCAGCCCCTACAGCCTGATCTTATGGTGGCATTTTTTTCAGTTGCTATGCCCTCTCCTGACTCTAGCTTGTGTTCAGCTGACATAAAACTAGCCAGGACAAACATTTGTCCCAAAAATACATCAATAAGCTGGGCATGGTGACACACGCCTGTGATCCTAGCCCTCAGGGAGGCAGAGGCAGATGGATCTCTGTGAGTTCAGGGCGAGCCTGGTCTACAAATCGAGTCCAGGACACCCAAGGTTACACAGAGAAACCCTGTCTCAAAAAATCAAAATAAATAAATAAGCTTCCCAGATTCTTTACTATAAAGTTGTTATCTTATTTTTTAACTACTATAGAGAATCTGTTTCTCATCAATTTCTATTTTGTTTGTATCTCAGTATGAGTCTTCTAACTTCATAACCAAAGAAAGTGTTTCATCTTCTCCATAAATTTACCACTTTATTTAGTATGGGTTCACTGGTTCCTATTTGTTTAGTGAGCTCCAGTTTGTAATTCTCATTACGTATTGTGATACTCAGACACTTGTGGTCCCAGATTTGTCCTAATCTGAGCTGATCCCATATGTTCCTTTCCCCCTTCTAGGCAATGAGTCCTTTTTCCCTGGAATTCCTCATCCCTGTTGTTGAACAAGTTATTTTAGAAAGCAAAATCTAAGTGCTGTATGTGCCTGCTTAGGAAGGTTGGAGAGCTTCTAGGATCTCTCAACAGAGCACTCAGCAGAGGGCCAGGAATTAGATGTGTGCATAAATACCATCTTCTGTCCACTTCTCTTGCTCATCAGTCTATTTAAAACCACCAGTTCCGGTCCAGCACCACATCTCCTCCTGCCCTTCTTTCTGTATTTCTAACTGCATTCCTACCTTAACAGAAATACGTTCTTACTCTCCTCGGTATATTTACTTAAGTTTTTGCATAGTCATTTCAGAATTGCTAATCTATTATTCCTGTAAAAACCCACTGATTTTTCAATATTTGTCTGCAGGTCTCCCAACTGGCTTGAGAATTGTTGTAAGAATATCTCCTCTCCCCACTCCCCTTGCCCACCCCCGTGCAGACATGACATCTACCCACTCCTCAGAAAGTCCCAGTGACAAACAAAAGTATGAATCCACTGAAATTCACCCAGGGTGAATGAGTTACACAACCTAATCTAGACAGTCCCTGTAGACACACCCAGAGACTTGTTTCCCCTGAACTTGACAAGATCAGCCACCATGCCTTAGCCCAGTTCATTGTTCTTTCAAGCAATTTCGAACCTGTGCAGAGATATGCCCGACTCCTTTCAAAGGGCTCAACTATATCAATAATGAATTTATTCATACCCTCCAACTTATCTCTAGGGTCCCTATAGCTTCCGGTCTGCTTGATGATTCATGGACATCAACAGCTTCTGTGTGACTTCTCTGAATGTTCCTGTCAACTTACTGTTCTGATTTAAAACTGGCTGCCAGTGGGCACACACACTTTAAAAATTCAAAATCAAGGGGGCTGGAGAGATGGCTCAGAGATTAAGAGCACTGGCAGCTCTTCCAAAGGTCCTGAGATCAATTCCCAGCAACCCCATGGTGGCTTACAGCCATCCACAATGAGATCTGGTGCCCTCTTACGGCCTGCAGGCATACATGAAGGCAGAACACTGCATACATAATAAATAAGTAAATCTTTAAAAAAAAATTCAAAAACAAAACACTGGCTGTCCTGGTCCACAAGATCTGGAGACAAGGAGGCTGTTCTTGCTCCTTATCTCCATTTCCACACATTGGTCCCACCTCAAGCACGAAACCTGCTATCCTGGAACTCGTTGTATAGAGCCAGCTGGCCTCAAACTCACAGAGATCTGCCTGCCTCTGCCTCCCCGGTGCTGGAGTGCTGGGGTTAAAGGCCTCTGTCATTACCACCTCCCTGCTAAAAGCACGGTTCTGTAAGAATAATGAACACATCTCTATTAGATGTTAAAAATAATAACAAACCCCTCCTTAAGCTACTTTTTAAAGATACATGGGTACCAGTGATTAAATTCATCCTCAGGCTTGTGCAGTAAACAGACAGTTATACCCTCTAGCCCTAGGATAGCTCATTTTCAAAAGACTGCTTTATACCAAGTGTGGGCAAATACAAAGCAGCAATTGGAATAGCCATACAGTGCTAGTCTAGGAGATGTGCTGATGAAAAAAAAAAAAAAAAAAAAAAAAGACAGACTGGCAGGTCCTTAAGAAATCAGGCACATACTATACAATAAACCCAAGCACCCCGAGTCGTCCTGACAGGTTCCAGGACTAGCGTTCCCGGCTGCCAGGGGCTGGGCGGAAATGACCGAAGCCCCCCTGGAGCAGAAGGGCTGCAGGGAGGGGCCGAGGCGAGGAGGCGCTCGGGTTTGTAGGGACTGCGGGCGCCCGCTGGCGCTACTGCCTGCAAGAGCAGGCGCGTCCCGGCCCTAACGCGGTCGCTCTAGGAACGGCGGAGGCCTGGGCTCTCGGTGGTCCCGGGGCGAGCGGGCAATCCGACCCTCGGGCGCCGTGGTCCAAGAGTGGGGGGGTGTGGGGGTGTGGACCAGGGGGCGGGGTCCCCTGGGATTGACGACTGCGCAGACCGGGCGGGACGGCCCCTTTGTCTCAGGGAGCTGAGGCAGCCGCCGCAGGGCGAAAGGTTGCGGCAGTTGGTGAGTGGCGTTCTGTTGGCTGCGCGGGACCCTCTCCCTCATCCGCACCCAAGCTCCGCGTCCTCACGTACGCCCAGCCCTTCCCCGGATGGAGGTCTGCGGCCCGGCGGCTGACCCAGGCGGCTGACCCTCCGCCCCGGTCCCTCGGACCTCCCCGGCCCCGCCCTTGGACCCATCGGGTGGCTCCGGCTAGCGTGGGTCGGGGTGGGAGTGGGGGGGTTAGATGGTTCTGATGTGCGTGAGGTCTCTTACTGGTTAGTTAATTTGGTTTGGCTTGGGATGTGGATGAGGTTTTGTCTGGTGAACCAACCGCGATCCACACTGCCCTGCACGCCCTGGGTTCGCACGATCCTCCCCATACCCGGGACCACAGTTAGGGCCACCGCACAGGCTTTTAGGTCACAACTTCTCTACCGTGACATTTTCTTGTTTGGTTTTTACGTTATGCATGCATGTGCTTTGCCTGCATGCGTATCCGTATATCGTGTGCCTGCCTGGTGCCAGCGGAGGCCAGAAGGGGGCAGCGGGTTCCCCAAACTGGCTGTGGGTGCTGGGAATCGAGTGTGGGTCCTCTGGAAGAGGCAACCGCTGAGCCATCCCTCCAGCCTCCGCATGTAAATTTTATTGGAGAGTGATGTTGCCGGGAATGGAGAGATGGCTCAGTTAAACACCTGAGTCCGCATCACCAGACCTCACCTCAAAAGCCGGATGTGGCCGCGAGTGCCGTTATCTCCAGCTCACTAGCTTCCTCGGCGAGTTCCAGGCCAAAAAGAGACGCTGTTGCCCCCCCGCCCCCCAGAAGGTGAAAGGCTTCTGAGGTTATCCTCAGGCCTTCATGTGCTTGCTGGCGTGTAGGTACACACAGCCAGGAATTATATACAATGATTTCCTTGTGTGTGGGAGGTGAAGTAGTACGGGCACAGTCGTATTCTCGAAGGCCAGAGAAGGACGTTGGCCATAACCATCTCCCCCAGCCCAAAATAATTCTTTTAAATGTCGCTCTGTCAGTGAACGTACAGTTACACCGAAAGCAGTTCCCCGTGTCTTTCTAGAATGATTGCAAGCTAGGCTACCGCTGGCGCACGCTCTTTTGTTATTAACATAAAAGGAAGGTGCCTTTGGTCTCTACCGCCTACCACAGAGATCCTTTAAAGCTGTGTGGACCTCAGTTCTGTCGCTTTGCACCCTGGGAATTTCCTTGTCAGAGACACAGGGAAGTGTAACACGGTTAATAGGTCAGAACTAGTAAGCTACCTCGCCACCGTATAGGTGGCCAGCTCCTGGGCGTTCTTGCCATAAAGATGTTTCAGTACCCATTCTCAATTGATTATCGGTGAGGGTGAAACCTCTGCGTTCGTCTTTTAGCTGCTTGTGTCCCTGTTCAGATTAATCAGCTTGTATTATTTTTGTGTATATTAAAAACACACACACACTTCCCTATGTGTCGATTTACTCCATTGAAAGTGACTTCTTTGATTTCGTTTTATTTATTTATTTTTGTTTTGTTTTGTTTTGTTTTGTTTTTCAAAAATGGGTTTCTCTGTGTGTAGCCCTGACTGTCCCAGACTCACTTTGTACACAAGGCTGGCCTTGAACTCACATAGATCCACCTGCCTCTGCCTCCCAAGTGCTAGGATCAAAGGCAGGCACCACCATGCCCAGCTTTATTTATTTATTTATTTATTTATTTATTTATTTATTTATTTATTT